ATTACATAAGCAACATTTGAGAGCACCGCACCAAACTCTCAAACTCTAGACTTGCAATCCTCCCTCCATTTTTAGCTCATCCAGGAGACTTTCATGGGATAGCACTTTTTGCTGTTTTCGCTGAATAGCGTAAACGGGATAACTTTTTCACGTGTCATTGCATTATTGGTCAAGGATAACAAAACAATGTTATCCCCGTTACAAGAAAGTTTTCTGACCTATTGGACCTATCAATCCCATTTGGCTATAGCAACTAATCCCAAACACGAATTTCCATGTACCTTTCGGAAGGTGTGTAGATCACTTGCTCAAGTGCTTGCACCACCTCCTTCCATCCTTAGGTCGTTGGTTTCCTTGGCTTTGGGAAGTGTATTCCCGAGTTTGTTCTTTGATTGGATGCTGTTTTCTTTTTGGTGTTTTGGTGATTTCGTTCTTTATGGAGTTGGTGAGCAGGGCTAGCCCTGGGCTTGGACCTCGAGGGTGACGACCTCTGGCCCCGAATCAAGGGGGCCCAAATTTTTTAATATATGTATATATTATATATAATTATTTACACCCTATAAATAAAATGATTTTTTTTAAGTTAAAAAATATAAGGGCCCAAATAAAAACGAGTTCAAATCTTTAACAATACAAGGCCCCATATTTAAAAACTAATAATTTTTTTTCGAACAACAAATATGCAATTAATGTAATAACCCGAACTTAAATTAATATTTAATTATTAATTTATTCACTTAAATGACAATTTTATTCCAGGAATATTTTAATAGTTTAAAAGTTGACTTTTTGTTCAGGAAAGAATTAGGGGATTTCAGCTATACCCTTGCGTAGAACACGTTGAGATGAGTTCGTAGACACGTAATGGGCTTAAATCGGAGTTGTAACGAAGAAGTTACGATAAAAAATAGTCCAGTGGCAAAATCGTAATTTTTTTGAAATGAGATTTTTTTTAACCTAATTTTTTTTTTCTCTCTCTCTCCCCGCAGAACCTCTCTCCCCTCATGACGGCAGCACCCAACCGGCCACGTTTTGGCCGGCCGTTCTCTCTTCAAGCCACCAAATTTGAAGGGGCCGGTACCAAAATGACTGGGCCACCATCCTCTGCCAGCCCCACCCGTTCCCCGCTACAGCCCGCCGTTGTAGTAGCCGGAAAAGCCCAAAATCTGGCCGGTCTTTGGTGAATTTTTCTCAAGCTCGTTTGAATGCTTCCAGCAACCAAATCATGCGATTCATGTATGCTTTCTAATCCTCTCAATGTGTTCTAGCTGCTGGTTGTGTAATCTTGGGGAAATTTTTACATTTTGAGACGTAAATAAACGATTGAAAATCTGCCGATTTTTGGCCTCTGATTCCGGCCACTTCCGTTGACTTTTTAAGGTAGGTCCAAGAACAAAAGTTGCTTCACTATATGTGGTGATCATGCAGGTATAAGTCTTGACCGGCGGTTAGGAGATTTTCCAATCGCCGGAATTTGATTTGGACACCCACGTGTGGGCGGTGCTTGGCTCAATTTTTGGCCAGTCTTAGGGTCCTAAAATACTCCTCATGTTGTCCCGAGCATGACGGTATGCTCGGATATGAATTTGGTTATTGCTTGATCATCGATTGGATATCGCATATTAGGCGTTATCCGGGTTCGATATGTTCGGACCGTTGGATCGACTCTAATTTGATAAATGTTGATCTAGACATTCCTAGGATCGTGAATCGGAGCCTCGGAGCCTCGGATGTTCCGATTCAATAACTTAAAGTTTGCGTTAAACGATAATCGTTCGATCGTACGATCGTGAGCAATCCGATTGTTTGATTTGAACCAGACTTACAGGGCATGTTTAGTAAAGTGTGTTGAACCTATAGGAACTCTCAGATTGGTAATTGGAGGTCGTGGGCCCAGCGGGCCCGGTTGACCAAGTTTGGACAGTTTGACCCCTCGGTTGACCGTGAGTCTTCTGAGGCAGTGTCACCCCTCGAGAAGTACTAGAACGACCATGTAAACGAGTCTTAACCTGTAGTTGAGTTATCCTGATTATGTTGAGATTAGGAGATTGTTTCATAATATCTTATGGAAATTCTGGGATATTACATTGACAATTGAAGTTATAGAATGGGCGAGCTTGGAATATTAGTTTGGTGGGTTGTGGAAGTGAGCCTTAGGCCCGGCTATGATTATTAGTAAATCAATGGACCTTTGTTATTAAGAGTACGTAGTGCTTTTAGTATGGAATTCCTTGCTTAATGAGTTTAGATTGGGAATTGATTCGATATGGGATTTTCTTTAAAGGTTGTTACTTTTCATTGATTAAATTACCATGCAATCTACTATGGATTTATATGATTATGGAAGGAATATATATATATATATATATATATATATATAGTTTGCTAATTGTGAGTATTTCTATTATTTCGATATTTGAGATTATATTATAGTATTTTATGGTATTTCTAAATATTATTTCCGATATATGAAGATTATGTATTATTGGAAGTGATGAAATCTCTAGGGGTAGTGGTTAAAATTCAAAGGTAGTTGATAATTGGTTTTTGGAAAATTGAGAAAAGATTTGAAATAGGGATTGTGGAATATGGGAAATTTTAGGATAAGTTTCGGAATATGGTTTTCAAACCCACCACTGGAGTATCCCCCAGTTGCCTTGGAATAGTTTTGTCATTTATGATTATGCCCCAGGAGTTTCAGGGACGCCTGAACTGTGTGGAGCGATGATATATGTTCTCGGGCTTACTACATGTCCCCCAAGTTCTGCGAGGAATGCAGCTCAGGCTGACTAGTGGTCTCCTGAGTCTTGTGAGGAATGCGGCTAGGGTTGACTTTGTGTTCTTGAGGCCTGCGAGGAATGCGACTCGGATTGACTTGTATTTCCGAGGCCTGCGAGGATGTAACAAACAGGAAACCTGGAATTGACGGAATGTTATCAGAATTGATGGAATATTAAGGGAATTGACGGAATATGAATAGGGGTACACCTTGGTGGAGAGTAAATGAGAGGTTTAAACTAAAATTAGTGATTTTATCTTGATAATTATTGGCAAAAGCTTTAATACATATTTTCCAATGTGTGAGACAAGGATTGAGGGTTCTAAGTTTTAAAGAGTTTATACAATTCATAACTATTTTCTTGAGAAATAAATTGGTTGTTACATAAGAAAGAGAAGCAGGTTTTTATTTAAATTGTTGATAATGACATTTAGGTTTTCACAGGGTCAGTGGTATTTTAATAATTTTCTCGTTTGCTACTTATCTGTAATAAGTAATTAAATATATATTTGTATATGCGTGTATGGGATGAGTGGAAGACTGTGCTTAAATCAACAACTCTTGCTTGAGTTTCAATGGTTTGATTTGCAAATTTCATTGAGAAATAACAATTGATGAAGTTATACAAGTGCAAATGTGAAAAGCGAAAGAACAACATGTGGCTTGATCCCCTAGAAGGGTACGTAGGCAACCTAGAGTTTCTAGGTGCAGCCGCAAGTTCAAGTGTTGAAGGGTTGTCCTGCTAAGCTATTTTGAAATTTGCTAACGTACTCTTGATGTTCTAAAAGTTGAGATTAGTTTTAGATGGCAGAATGATTTATTTGGTTTTAAAAGGCTTGGGGCCAAATAATGTGATGTTTGGTTGCATGAGTTCTATTTTTGTGCATGCTGAACGTTTGGGATTATAAAATCATGTTTTTACAGGTAAAATTTTTGGGAAACGAGCGAATTACGGAGGAGACTCTGCCAAATTTTTGGTAGCAGTCAAATTTCAAGAAAAGAATTTAGGAAGCTTAGAAGGGCATTTTGGTCAAAAGTGCTCGTCACCTGCCAAGTGTCGAACATGCACAGGGTTCGACTCAGATTCCAAAGTGGAATTTGGGTTGGGTCCTGTCAATTAATCCAATCTTTCATGAAAAATGTTTAGTTCTTCTAGTTTGATGGGTTTTTTGTTGTCAATAATGTGATTTATGTAGTTTAATGAGACTCCTTGGTTGGTTTTTTTATAACATGCATGTGTATTTTCTTAATAATAATTTATTTAATACTATATTTAAGCAACAACAAAAATTCCTTGTTAAATTATGATTGCATACAAAGAAAAAGGGGTCACATTTTAATTTGTGACCCTGGGCCACTCAAAAGTCAAAGTCGTCCATGTTGAGATGGTGGTTTTATGTATTGTGAGGGATATTCGGATTTGTTGGCAAATTTGTGGTTTTTGTATATGTTTTTGTGTGTTCTTGTGGAGTTGCAATTCCTTCACCCCCTCCTTAGTCATGGTGGTGATGTCCCGTTCTTCATGGAGGCAGCGGCAGCAGTGGTCCTTCGACGTTTGGTGGGCTTTTTTGCTTTAGTTGTAATATCAGTAGTGAGCGTTATACTTATTTTGAGTTTTATGACTGTAGCGGGCTTCGTGTCTTTTTATGTTGCATTTGTTTGAACTTATTTTTTAAGTTCACTATGATATAATTGAATTTGGCTCTCTATATTAATAAAACTTGATTTAGAAATAAAATAAAATAAAATTGGCAAGCAAAAATATATGCATTGATCGAATTTGGATGGCCATTGGCACGTGGAATAGGAGAAAGAAAAAAAACAGAAACAAGAGAGGCAGGTTTGTCTCGTTGACAAAAAGATAGGGGGCATCTAATGGACACAGGAGCGAGAATATAACCGTGTAGATTATATAAATAATATAAGAAAACAATACAAGACCCACGCCATTTAAATTTTGGTAATTACTGTTTTGATGCAGAAAGGAGGAGGAGCAGTCCTTTTTATGGGCTCTATAAATTCCCCCACCAAAGTTTTGATTCCTTGCTTCCTTGCTTTGAAGAAAAGAGGCAAAACAAACTCTCTCTCTCTCTCTCTCTCTCTCTCTCTCTCTCTCTCTCTCTCTCTCTCTCTCTCTCTCTCTCTCTCTCTCTCTCTCTCTCTCTCTCTCTCTCTCTCTCTCTCTCTCTCTCTCTCTCTCTCTCTCTCTCTCTCTCTCTCTCTCTCTCTCTCTCTCTCTCTCTCTCTCTCTCTCTCACACACACACACACACACACACACACTCTTTCTGAAAGTACCCATAAGCATCTTGAATCTTTTAAGGTCCACTGAGGCTTTTAAGTTTCAACCCCTACTTTCAACTAAGCTTCAGAAAATGGCGATCTGGGGTTTGCTTCATCTTGTTGCTGCTGCTGCCCTCGTTCTCTCCTGCCCTTTGGCACCCACAAGTGCAAACTTAGAAGGTATACAAACATGCACAATAAGTTTAAGTGTCCCTTAAGTTAATCACTATCTTAAGTATATTATATGCAACTCTCCAGTGTATTAACGTTGTCTGTCTGTGAATGAAACAGGGGATGCTCTGTACGCGTTGAGAAGAGCTGTGAATGACCCAAAGAGTGTTCTGCAGAGCTGGGATCCCACCTTGGTTGATCCCTGCACTTGGTTTCATGTCACTTGCGACGCCGACAATCGGGTCACACGACTGTAATTCATCTCTTCACTTTCTCTTCTCTTTTTTTGAGTTGTTTTAAATTCTTTGGTTAAGATTGTGTGTTTATCTTCTTCTTTTTTCTGCCAAAAAAGGATTGTGTGTTTATCTGCTCTCTGGTTCTTAGATTCTCCAAAATAATCTACTTGGTTTACTTTAATTATTAACATTCTTTATTAATGAGCTAGGTTGCTGTTTTTGTTTACTTATAAAATACATGGAAGTACACTGCATTTCGTTTTTTTATATATGATTCATTCCCCCTTCCTTGGAAGCCCGTGATCAGGCGGCTCACACACAGTTCAAAAGAAATTAAAAAGAAAAACCATGCTCATTTTGTTTGCAGTTCAGCTTCTTTTGTTATTCTTTCCCTTCTCTTTGTGTTGTGTAAATGAAAAAAGATTGATATGAAGTTGTTTGGGTTGTTCGAGATTTTTGTTTGATTTTATTTTGTAAAGATGAAGTAGTAAGTAGTTTAGAATAATATTGTATGCGCAGAGACCTTGGAAATGCAAACTTGTCGGGCAGTCTAGTACCCGAGTTAGGGAAGCTCGAGCGCCTTCAGTATCTGTGAGTCTCCCAATTTCATTTACAGCTTCACTGTTTTATATTTTCTTCTTCTTTGGCTTGCTCGTCTCATATAAATAATAAATCTATATATAAAAAGCAAACAAACAAACAAGGGTTCAATGCTTAATCACTTGAATTGTTGGCTTATACGGCAACAACAGTGGACACATTTATGTTCAATCTCACCAACCCCACCAGCCAGACAGACCACCACCGTCGGATTATAAACGATCATGCATCTGGAATTAATATTGTAAGAGGAGCATTTAGTTTAGTGACTGATGGCAAGTATTGGGTTGGTGTGTGTTTCTCTTGTTATATAATATAATAGGGAATTGTACATGAACAACTTGATGGGTTGTATACCAAAAGAGCTTGGAGGATTGAAGAGCCTTGTGAGCTTGGATCTCTACCACAATAACTTCTCTGGGGCCATCCCACCCTCCCTTTCCAACCTCTCCAATCTTAAATTCTTGTAAGCACCACATCACATCACTCATTTTTCTCTTTCCCCTTTTTGATTAATAACTTCTTTACCCCTTAATTAGCGGTAAGCTCATTTAATCAAGTGTTCCTTCCCATGCAGGAGACTGAATGGTAACAGACTGACTGGAAGAATTCCAAGGGAACTTACCGAACTTCAGAATCTGAAGATCCTGTAAGTCATCTTCATGCAAAACCCAACATTACCCTTTAATTACTTTCTCCACCTCCCTCTAATCTCATCAGGTTACATTAAATTAAAAGTAAATAAATAAATAAACCTGTGCAGTGATGTATCCAACAACGATTTATGTGGTACTTTCCCAACCTGGGGCTCCTTCTCCAAGTTCTCAGAGGAAAGGTGATTAACATTTAACCATTCGCATGTGCAAATTGAATTAACAACTTTGTTTCTGTTTGTTTAGTTTTGAGGTTTGGTTCTTATTGGGTTGTATTTTTATTGTTTGTCTGGATGTAGTTTCAAGAATAACCCAAGATTGGAAGGACCAGAACTGATGGGATTTGTGAGATACGATACCAGAGGGAGCTGCAAATGATGTGTACCATTAATATAGTATATACTATACCTAAAAGGCAACAAAGGGTTGCCAAAATTCCATCTCCACTCCACTTGTATTTACGTTGTCCATTTTTCCTTTTTTATGAGACAGCCTTTTATGTTTCACTAATGTGATTACCACAACTTACTACACCATTGGCTTCTTTAATTCACCCAAAGTTAAAAGGAACTGTTACTGTAATTATTTCCATCAAATCTCCAGCAACCTCAAAGCATGTTCTGTGTAAACTAAGCCAAGCCTCATGGTATAACATATCTGGGTAGCCAACACAGATCTTCCTCCTCCTCACTTGGGTTTGGATTTGTATCTGGTAAGTCATAACACAATCACCTTAATGAGCACTTGGACAAATTCTATATCAACCATTCATTATGGAATTTCTATATCAAAACGATCAGAAAGTTGGGGAAGATGATAACAAGAGAGAAAGGAAAAGTGGGATATATGGGAGAATGAGAATTATTAACTATTAATTGCTGGGGACAGTTACAAAATTCCTCAGATGATGGAACAAGATGGCAATTATTTTACAATTTATGCCATGTGCCCAATAACACAAAATAACTAGCTAGTAAAAATGGCGATAAACAACTAACAAATATCATGGACAAAGATATATTTACATTTGTGCACCTCTACGAGTGGAAGAAAACACAATCTTTCTCCCCCCAAAACAATTTGTTGCCTAGTTAGAAACAAAATATCACCACGAAATGAATAATCCATCCCCACCTGCATTCAAAAAATATATTTCCACTTAGAAACAAAGAAGTTCCACGTCCCAAAAGTACATAAATCCCATTTATACAGCCAACAAAACGAAAGATTTTTATAATAATCTCACCAACTAGTGACCTAGATGTTAAATGTATGATCAATTGATATCTATAAGTCCCTAGAAGTTGCTTTTCGGTAATGAAACACATAATAGAATTAGTTTGTTAGAACACAGCCTCAACATTCATATTTAACCTTAATAGAAAGAAACAGTATTTGAGTGTTCAAACTACCTCTGAATTGAACAGCCCAAATGACAATGTCAGAGCTGGTTGATTATCACTTAGCTGTGTTAGGTAAGGCTAGTGGACTCAAAGGAGGTGAACCATTGTCTTCAGCCATTTCAGGAACAGGGGAACCTTCCTGTGCTTCGGTTACATGAAACTCCATAGCTCTAGGATCCCTCGAGGGTATAGAGAAACTACGGGCGATGGTCGGAGGTGTTGGCAGAGGAGCTGCTGTAGGTGACACCACTGGTTTATTTGTTGCAGATTGAGCTGCTGCTGTAGGTGACACTGCTGGTTTATTTGTCACAGATTGCATTTGTGTTCTAGGAACCAAGGGAGCTGAATGACCAATTAAACCCAGAGGTCTTGAAGACTTAGAGGTTGAACTAGCAGGGGGCCTTGGAAGCTCATGAAGCTCACTTATTTTAGGCGAGGACATAAAGGTAGGTGAAGCACTTGGGGATACTTTAGGCGAAGATGACAGAGGTTGAGACACTGGATTTCGCAATATAGGTCCAGAAAACATTTGGTGATGGTCTGAGGTCACAGGCTTGGAAGCCCAATGCTTACTTGTCAATGGACCAGAGAATGCTTGTCTTCTTCTTTCTTTACTGTAAGAAGCAGCCAGTGGAACCTGCTCCAAAAACAAATGCCGACCTGTGAGAGGAGGGGGTAATCGATGCGATGCAATATTATTGTTGCTCTCATTGAGTACTGACTGCACATTCATAAAATTGGTTCCAGAAACTTTCTTCTCTCCCATGGATTTTTCGTTCTTTGGTTCCAAAGGTGATGAATGCCACAAATTCTGCGTTCGCTCACTTAAACTTGTCTGTACAGTGTGCGGCACTGGATTATCTGATCCAGTAGAAACTGAACTCTTCTTATCAATTGGTGTAGGTAGTGCATACGAGTGGAACTTCCGTGAGAATGATGGCTGCCTATGTCTCATTTTTTCTGCTCGATCTGAGTTATTTTCAGCAAAAAGAGGAGCAGATTGGCTGACCGTCCTACCCTTAAAGGAAAATGAATTCCTATGGATTCTGTCCTGGTAATAGGTCAAATGATAAGCATGAGATTCGTAAGTTACAACAAATTAGAAACTCGAAGCATCTTCAAGATAAAGTTTTTAAAGTCATCCATGTAGGAACTGAACGTAAAAATACGTCTCCAGGTTCAAGAACTGTGCAATGGACTGTGTTGTACCTTTAGCATGTGCTGAAGTGCACAGGTGTAAAAAGGCAAGAAAAAAACCAGTCAACAACTAAATTAGAATTAGAAGCTCACAGTACAACCTTGAGTCATACAAGACACAGTTTGACTAGATAAAGGTATATGAACTTCTAAGAGTATAGAGATACCACTGCAGACATTTACCTTCTTGCAACTTATCAGAGGATAGAATAGATAGAAGGATTCAATAACAATTTTTTTTTTCTTGCAGACCAACCCAATCCAACTATGCATCTCAAGTGCATTACAAAGAGCAGACTAGAAAGTGCATTACAGATCTGCTATATTAGTGAACAGATGAACTGATTACAGAGTGGATGTTTACCTTGAGAGCTTCCACGTGTGCTACTTTAGGAAAGGTAAGGTCCACCTCATCCAACTGCATTAAAGTTAAGGCTGATGTCAAAATAGCATAATATTTATGTCAAAATGTCTCAGAAATTTTAAAAGAGAACAAGGCAACAAGGTCCCCATGTCCAAAATAATAACTACAGAAGTGGTTCAGGAATCAGACCCTTCTTGCTTAAAACTAATAGTTAAGCATTCCCCCCGACAAAAGACAAGACAGAAAAAAAAAAAAATCAAACTCCAGTTACTCTTCATGCTCTATCCTTCCATATCCCTATAATATCACGCTTGTTGCAAGAATATATTGCATGAAAGTGCTTCTGAAATGACTGTTTTGCGCACTATTTTAAGACTGATTTTTCATTCTGTTACTTAAACATGCATGACATATAGCTGTTTGAGAAAGAAAGAAAAAAAATCCCTTTTTTGGGTCATAGCTGTTTCAAAGTATTTTCCTTGGTAAAAAGCTACAGCTGGTTCTCCCAACTCTATTCTGAATATATTTCAAATGCATTTCAACAGGACAAATGTAGTTTAGTAAACGTAGATTAAATTGTAGCAAGACCTCCATTGAGTTTCGCGATGTAGAAACATCTTGATCATGGTCACGTTGTCCATAGTCAAAGCTCAATTCTCCATCATCATTCACATCGCTATCATCATCGTCATTATCATCATCATCGTTGTCGCCATCCCCTTCATCATTTAGCCCATTGAACTCATAATCAATATGCTGCTGCTCGGTTACCAATTTCACATGTGGCTCTACTGACTCCACAGATCTAAGTGCCTTCTTGAAGAAGCACAACTGTTCCAAGCAGGAAAAAAGAAAAAAACTAAGAACACTTTAATGAAGATGAACAAGAAGAAAAACAGAGGGAAAAAGAAAAAGAAAAAACCTGAGCAGCATGATGACGAGCTGCCTGTGTGAGAAGACTACGAGATTGTCCTTGCTTCAGAGATTTCAACCGGAAAATAAATAGTGTTGCCTCCTCATCGTATTCTTCACGAGCCAATTGTATTTGCTGCACAGAAAAGCTCTCTCCTTTCCCACCTCTTGACCTCCCTTTCTCTTTCTGTCTCTTTATCATATACTCATATACATCTCTGTAGATCATGCACCATATGAGAGGACATTCATTTAAACACAGATATACAAATGTATTCATATGAAAACATATAATGTTTGTAATACCTTTTTTCATCACATTGACGCTTCATCTCCTGCATCAACATGAAAGAACAAACATCACTTTAACATATGTAAATGCAATGTTCACACAGAAGCACTAACCGCAATATAAAAAGTCTGCCAAGGCAAAATAAAGCATTTGGGGCAGATATTAATAGTCTAAACAATACTAAAACTAGTAACGGAGAATAAGGAGACAACAATAATCAACCCCCTTCTGTCCTCCCGTGCCTAAAAGAAAAGTGTTAAGGCTTGAAATGAAGAGAACATACAAATGGATAATTAAAACATAGGATGGAAACACCTACAGCAATGTATAACTTGTGCGTGAAAAAAAGGTGCCCATACAACACTTGCTATAAGCTTATTAGATCAAAGGGTCCAAGCAAACACACCTCAACTGTTTGAAGTTCATTAAGAAGAGATTCTGATGGAACTGCAATTGTCTGGAAGATATGAGAGCGCTGTAATATGCAAAGCAACGAAACTATTAGTAGAGTAAAAACTCAAGGAAAGGTTTCTTAACTAGTTTGCATATAACAATAGAGCCTCACATAGCTATCAACAAGTTTGTGGAGTTCAAATTGCAATTTCCCTAGCTTTAGTAGAACTCTACCTGCAAGACAATTAAGGAAAATAAAAATAAATAGTTATATTTCCTCAAAATGGTTTTTGTAACAAAAAAATTACTAAATACACAAGAACATAAATATGTACGAGAGAGAGGAATAATGCAAAGAAGAATTGGAAACAGACAAACGCATTTGCATTCCTACAGTACTTGAAGAAAACCAAATCAACTATTAGGGTCTGATACCAGTTCATAAATAAAAGTCAGTCTAGGATTCACAAACAGAAGCAAGCCTACCTGAAGATTTAAGATTGATAAAAATAAAAGCATTTGAGATGAAGAAAAAAAATAAGGAATCACTCTGACTTCCAATACAGATCCAAACTATGGTCCTAGAACTTTGATATTGATTTTCTTTCTATTTCAAATTTGAAGATTAAAACAATCACCAAGAGCAAGATTTCAATATAATACCACGCAAACATTTTAGGTGACTAGGATGCCAAAGGGAGAAACAAAAATTAACAGGTTGCTTATTCCCCAAGAGACATCAAGGTGACAAACTCAGTCCTCAGTGAAGCACGACTAAACAATGCATCACCCACTACTTAAAGACAAATCATAAATATATGCATAAGGGAGTTTAGAACCTCACCACTTTCTTCATCATCATTTAGTGCAGTTTTCTGAAGAAGACAAGAACCCATTTCCCGCAGTGACTCCGAAAATTCTACAAATAAATTGGAATGTATAAGACTATTAAACTTCGAATTAGCATTCT